AGCTGGGTTGACTTTTTGTTGATCGTTGACTTTTGACCTAGTTTGACCGTAGGGGCATTTGGGTATTTGTTATAAAGCCTAAGGTTGTATCTTTCCCTGTGTATAGGTGATCTGTAGGGTGGACTCGCGGAACGATATTCTTTTCTGCTAGCTTTTCAAATTTGCGAGGTGAGTTTTCCCTCACTATACTTTTGGGTCGAAGGCACCAAGGCCGACCTCTTTGGATTGTTATCCTGGTTTATCATATGCTTGTATGCTATAGTGATTTGTCAGATCTATATCCTTGTATATATGATGATGCTATGCTTAGTGATATGTTAGATCTATATGATTGTCTGTATATGCTAGCTAGGGCTTGATATGGTATATACTGTTATGTGATGGTGTGTTGGGTTGGGTTGGGCTGAGGAGGTCCTGTTGTGTGCTCAAGGCCAAGATACCCAAGGCGTCTTGGATAGACTGTAGGCCAGTGGGGTGTACCATTTAGACCGAAGGCTCGGAGAACGTTCCAGATAGGTTGTAGGCCCAGTGTATCAGTCAAGCTGAAGGTTCTGTGAGCGTACCAGATAGACTGTAGGCCGGTGGGGCGTTCCAGTCAGACTGAAGGCTCTGTATGCATGTTGTTTACTGTACTATTATGATTATGTGTTGTGTGTTGGTAATTTGAGGGAACTCACTAAGCGTTGGCTTACAATTTTGGGTTATATTTCAGGTACTTCAGAGGAAATCGGAAAGGCGAATGCGTGACCGTACACATCCTCATGTTTTGGACTTATGATTTTGGGAAACTCTGATATGGAACATGTTTTAAAGACAATTGTGACATCCCCATTTTTACGACCAGAAAGAGACCGATTTGTTTATGCTTATTTAAAAATCAGAGTATCCTTTTTTTAAAAATAGTATTGTGGAATTTGTTCCCATAAAACATGATAATGATATTATCAAAGCATTTCTGAAGAAATGTATTTTTTATTTATATTAAAACATTGGGATGTCATCGTCAATACAAAAACATAAGCATAACGAAATATTACAAGCCTTACAGTAATTAAACTAGTGGCCTAATACTCCTTGAATCTCTCAGTAGAATTTACCTTTCATATAGCCACCTGTGATACAATAAACTGAGTGAGTTAGGTTGGGAAACCTGGTGAGTGCATAGGGTTTTCAATCCACAATAATATAATTATTATGTTTAATCATCAAATAATTAACCCAATTTCCCATCCCCCATTATCTTACTTATTCTTAAGAATCTTCCATAAGAATAATCTATTCTTCATTCATTCATTCCTAAGGATTGTCCTAAGGAATAGGCACGAAGCCCATCACTGCCAGGGTTTATCTATCGGGCACTAAATACATAGCTACTAATGTTATCTATTAGACACTAAGTCCATAGCTGCCAATGTTCATTTATAAGGCACTAAGTCCACAACTGCCAGAGTTTTTAGAGTACATCTGGTGAACACGTAGCTCAAAGGTTATCTATTAGGCATAACTGCCTATATTATCCATTAGGCGCAGCTGCCAGGATTTTTAGAGTACATCTGGTGAACATGTAGTTTAAAAACACCTACAGGTTGCGAGCCTGCTAGCGTTCCACCGAACTGTCCAGAATAGTCTGTGGTTGTATACTCTACTAGATGACTGGATCAACTTTAAAGTCAAGGCTTCTCATCATCTTTCACCTCTCATCATCTTTCACCTCTCATGATCTATATCATCTTTCATCTCTCATCATTCATCTACCTATCTTTACCCAATATATTTATAGGTATAAAAATACATATATACAGTTTAAATCACGTAAAACATATATAAATCGTTCATCTATCATAGATATCAGGAACACAGATAATAAGCACATATAGCATGTATTAATATTAAATACTTCATTTCTATGTGTAAGATGAAAGTAACTATGCACTCACTTGTTAAAGTGACGACTCGAAATTCGGGCAGCGTTTCGCTTCTAACAATTGTTTTTTCCTTTGACGAAACTTAGTATTATTATCACTAAATTTTAGTCTAATACTTACTACGACTAATTATTAGTCTAGATTAATCATTAACTCAAAGTCTACTTTCATGATCTATCAAGTAAGGAACAACCAGGTAGGATCAAATCGGAGGTAGGGTCCGTTTGGTATACGAAGTATACTGTTTGGAAATCCCACTTTAAATACCTCACTAAATCACAACATAGACACCATCCCCGTAAGTAGATCAATCATTATAACGACTTGGAATCACTGATAAATCTTGTTTATAGGTTCATAATGACTATAATGAACTTAAACATAAGTTATACTTAAAGTATGGTAAGCATAACTCACTTACAAGGGGGGTTTAGCGAGGAACCGGGCTCTGCGCGGGCAAAACTTCTAAGCCGAAAGTTCTTTTTCTCAGGGCTTTCCGGCACTCCAGGACTCGCTTATAACACTTAGTAAGTGCTAGGGAAAAGGATAGAAGCTTTGGGGGGTGTTTGGGAGAGAGATGGGTGAAGAGATGTGGAGAAATGAGTGAAAAACGCCACTTAGTTATAGGATGCCATCACCGAGTACGCGGGGCGTACGCGAAGGGTACGTTGGGCGTACTTCGAGCTATGCTGGTCATACTCATGCCACGTGTCGCCATCTCGTGCAAAGCCGTGGGGAAGAAGGTGCGGCACAAATCGCGCCACGTGTCACTTGCTGGTTACTCCAAAAACTAATTATCTTCTAAAATCCGTAACTTTTGCATACAGGTTCCGTTTTTGATGTTCTTTATATACACGCGTAGGTAGCAACGTGATCTACAACTTTCATTTATACTCCGTTGGCTAATTTTGACTTTATTTTTAAAGTTATTTTTTAACAGGCTTACACAGTTAAAATCCGTTAAAAATTCATAACTTTATTATCCGATGTTCGTTTTTGACTATCTTTATATCGTTGAGTTCCTATTAATGAGATCTTAAATTCTCATTTAAGTTGTGTTGGCTAAAAATCGATCAATCTAAAATTCGATTTCCGGGCTGTATACCGCTATGCAAAATCTTAGAAAAATCATAACTTCCTCAAACGAAGTCAGATTTGGACGTTCTTTATATGCACACTCTCGGTTTAACGTCAAATAGGACTTTCGTTTAGATTGCTAAGGCTAAAAAGTAGTTCGTCAAAAATTCACTTTTTACGATATGTGGTGGCGTGCCGGGTTTGTCGCAAAACTTTGACGGATCATAACTTCTTCATTATAAGTCGGATTTTAGCGTTCTTTATATGTACATAATCCTTGTGATATATACTATAACTTTGGTTAAGATTATTTATTCTAAATAATTTTATATCAAAAAGTCATGTTTAACGCTTATTATCTCTAAATTTACTAGCCCGAATCTGCGGGCGTTACAACTATGTTGTAAACAATTATGATTGTGGATTGGTTTTTAAAAGTTTAAATTTTTCATGAATTTTATGGATGTTACACACTAACTTTAAACCTATGTAAAAATGTGTTTAAAGATGCTCAAAAATCTTGCATGGTCCAAAATGAGAGCAACACTCACACTTTTCACCACCAAGGGTTCACAAAGCAACATAAATTAACCTTTAAACATGGAGTTCCAAACTCCATAGAAATCATTACAGAAAGGGACCAATTATGCTCAAAACCTTAGATCTAGCAACCAACAAGTATAAAGTTCAAAACTTGAATACTTACAAAGCATAAGGGTGAGGTCAAGAAGCTTGTATTCTATGGGTCTAGCCTTTGGTGTGCCAAAACCTCATCGCTTTTACTTCAAACTTCACTAACATGCACAAAGAACACCAAATGAGATGAGAAAGGCTAGGGTTTTCAAGGTTTTTTTTGGATGGAAGCTGAAGAAAAATGACTAACCCTAGAAGTTGGTGTCCTTATACAGTGCTCAAGACTCGAGATTAGGTTTGGGCTCTTTGCGGCTTCACGTCGCGACCCACACTTGGTTGAGTCACTACTTAAGACGTGACATGCGCCACACTTATCCATTAAGCACATCGCGAACAAGGGTTTTCCCAAAAGCCCCAAGCTCATTTCCTCAAAATTCCTAATTGAGCACATACAAAAAATAGGCGTCACAATAGACATATGTATCTGGGTGAATATGTAATTTCTAATTATCAATGCTTTGCCATTTGTAGCAATGTGCTTCCATTAGATTTCTCATTAAAATGACCACTAATGGATTTTCTTCCTCTTTATAGCAATATACTATCAATAAAAAATCTTGTTTAAAGTCACACCAAAGATACAGACTTAAACCCTCGTTTGTACATACCTAGTGTGTTAATGAGATCTTACTATAGTATGGTAGCATAACACCTTGTTCTTGAGTTTACTTAAGGAGTTGAATGGAAAGGTTTGTAAATAATCAAAAGAGAAATGTGTTCTTGAGTTTTTTTAAAGATGGAAGGGGATGGAAGGGAAGGGAAGGGAAGTGGAAACAATATACAAGCTTTTTTTCATCCGCCCATTTTTGGGAGGATTACGAAAGGAAGTCCAAAAATGCCTTAATTCGATTCCATTTCCCTTTACCTCAAGAACTATTTGTTTTTTCTTCCATTTCATTTCATTCCATTCTCCAACCTTTCCTTCCGGTCCATTCTTTTCGTTAAAAAAACTCGATAACTTTTTGTTTTTGCATAAAATGTTGAAAATCATTTTTAAGAGGATGTTTAAGATTGCTTATTTATAATGATATTATTATTTTAAAAAATATATTTATTAGCTTTTATATTACCAAAACAAAACTTTAAAAAAGTATTTATACTAATTACAATAATCCCATAAAATTATTTTTATATTAAAACAAAAAGTTCATATCTTTATAAATTAAAAGAAAACATTAAAACAACATATTCCAACATACAAACAATATCAACAAACTTAACATCCCAAGTAATTCGAACTTTTGAAGTAAAAAGACTTTTAGTTTAAATATATGCAAATCGAAAAAAAAAACAATTTAGCGAAAACAAACATAAGGCGAAAATTAGTTTTGGGGTGCTTCTTGTATCGTTTTCCAAATTCTGTCCTCCCCCAAAAAGCTCTCATGAACGCCCAGCACGAAGAACTGAAGTAACAGAAGGAGAGAGAAAGCGACCACGTTTCACCGGAGCGAGATTTGTTTCTCTCTCATCACCGGATTCCCCTTTCGATCATAACCCTAACCCTACACACTCCTCCCTTTCAGATCTCCCAATTCTAATTTATTGGATCGATAATCAAATCAAATCAAAATGGATACGTCGGCCTGCATAAAAGAAGTGAATAGATCGGCATCGGTTGCCTTTGCCCCCGAAGCCCCGTTGATTGCCGCCGGAACTATGGCGGGAGCTGTCGACATGTCGTTCAGCTCGTCCGCGAATCTGGAAATCTTTCAACTTGACTTCCAATCTGACGATCGCAAGCTTCCCTTAGTTGGGGCGATACCCATTTCGGAGCCATTTAATCGGTTATCTTGGGGAAAATCCCCGACATCGGGTTCGGAGGAATTCTCACTCGGGCTCGTTGCCGGTGGCCTTGTCGACGGCACAATCGGTATCTGGAATCCACGACTACTTATCAGGTAAAGTACTGTTAATGGTAGAAATCGTCGTAGTCGATTCAAATTGGGGCCCTGTAAATCAATTGATCAAATCCTGCAAATTCTCATTTTTCCTTTGAATGTGAGAGATTTGATTGGATCGTTTCAGGATATCCATAATTGAATCGAAAATTTGTCGTGTAATAGGTAATGTGGAAAGATATGGTTGCTTGTAGAGCTTAAGAGAAATAATTTTCTGCATGTCCTGTAGAATAATTCTCCCTCATTTCCCCAAGAACTGTAACAACACTAGTTGGCGTGTCCCTGTTCTAATGAAAATGTTTATAATTGTGAAAGCCTTACTGAGTTATTGCTATTATCTTTATCAACAGTTCGGAAGAAAAGGAAGGCGCTCTTGTTCAACAACTTACAAGACACAAAGGACCTGTAAGTTTCGTTTTCCTGTTTCTATGATGTTACACTTAATGCTCTGTTGGCATGTAATGATAAGCCCTCATGGGTGTAATCTGCATCAATATCTCCTCTTCTTTCCTCAGGTTCGTGGTCTTGAGTTTAGTGGTCTTTCACCAAACCATCTTGCTTCTGGTGCAGAAGAAGGAGAAATCTGTATATGGGATATTTCTAAACCATCAGAACCTACACATTTTCCTCCTCTCAAGGTTAGAATATTTTAACATCACCAATCTACATTCAACATCAAATCGACTGCGAATTTCTGGTTTATAGAACAATATCATAATGTTGCCTAAGCTGGAATCTTTTGCTAAAGAAGGAGCATATATCATTACCTTCATCATGTTATAGACATCTAATAAACCACTATTATGCAGGGAAGTGCGTCAGCTAAACAGGGTGAAATATCTTATTTATCATGGAACAGGAAAGTTCAGCCTATCTTGGCATCCACTTCCTTTAATGGGACAACTGGTATGGAAATAAACCACCATATACTGTTGAGATAATCTATTTTTAGAGATATTTACGTTGTATTCTGTCTTATTCAGTGGTGTGGGACCTTAGGAAGCAAAAGCCAATTATAAGGTAAATATATGAAGTTATTAATATCATGCAAAGTTGGTATGATGAATGTCTTATGGAACTTTGAATTGTTTACCAATAACAACCTATGGACTTCCAATATACAGTTTTTCAGATTCAGTTAGAAGACGATGCTCTGTTTTACAGTGGCATCCTGATTTTGCCACTCAACTGATTGTTGCTTCGGATGATGATAGTTCACCTTCTTTGAGGGTAATGATTTATGCTTTTCTTTATGTTTCCACAAGCATATATTTTATTCTTTTATTTACATTTGTTTTGGCATGCAGATATGGGATATGCGGAACACAATGTCACCATTGAGAGAGTTGGTAGGCCACAATAAAGGTATGCTGGTTCTCATATATGACTTTTAACTTTCTTTTTTGGATCTTTACAATTGTGCTTCCAAACAAAATGGTGTATCAGGTGTTGTTGCAATGTCATGGTGTCCCAGTGATAGTTCTTATTTGCTTACCTGTGCCAAAGATAATCGCACTATTTGTTGGGACACTAGTTCTGGCGAGGTCTGTAGTTTTTCAAGACTTTCATAAATCATAATTTCACTTCATAAACATCTTATGTTATGCTATCTTGATGTCTACAGATTGTCTCTGAACTTCCAGCTGGAACCAATTGGAATTTTGATGTTCACTGGTATTCAAAGATACCAGGAATCATATCAGCATCTTCATTTGATGGCAAAATTGGCATTTATAATATTGAGGCTTGTGCTCGATATGGTGCTGGTGAGAATTACTATGGACAAGGTAATGTAGCTCTGGGATCTTTCTATATATAATTTTATTTATTTTACATCTCTTCACCATTTTTATATATGATCCATGTCATGCAGCACCTTTAAAAGCCCCAAAATGGTACCAACGAAAAGCTGGAGTTTCTTTTGGTTTTGGTGGAAAACTTGTTTCTTTTCACACAACTGGTTCTTCTGGACCTTCAGAGGTATGTCTTTTTATTATGTATTTATATTTACATTTCTCCAATAACTTTCTTATCTCACTCTCATCATCTTCCCCGTTCTTCAGGTTAATGTCCATGACTTGGTTACTGAGCACAATTTAGTTAATGCCTCATCTGAATTTGAAGCTGCAATGCGTAGTGGAGATAGATCTACTTTACGTGTTCTATGTGACCAAAAATCTCAAGAATCTGAGTATGTTTATTTAAATTAGTTACATAAGTTGTAAGATGATGAAAACATTGGGGATTCTTGAATCTTGCATATGTTTTGTTTGTTTGATCAGATCCGAGGATGACAGAGAAACATGGGGATTCTTGAAAGTGATGTTTGAAGATGATGGGACAGCAAGAACAAAGCTTCTACACCATCTTGGATTCACTTTGCCTGTTGAAGCAACTGAAACTGTTCAAGATCTGACACAAGATGTAGGTGCTTTAAATTTTGAGGAACATGAAGGAGCTAAAGATGGATTTATGGGCGAAAACCAAGCAATAAACACTCCAACTGATTATGGGGAAGATTTCTTTAACAATCTTCCAAGTCCTAAATGTGACACACCTGTCTCAACTCCTGGAAGGAATGAAGAATTGGTGAGCTTTGAAGATGCACTAAAAAGAAGGTGATGGGGGTAATGACCCGTCTTTTAATGATGCTGTTCAACGTGCTTTGGTTGTTGGGGATTACAAGGGAGCTGTTGCACAGTGTATAGCTGCAGATAAAATGGCGGATGCTTTAGTTATTGCTCAGGTTGGTGGTGCTTCCCTGTGGGAGAGCACACGTGATCAGTACCTTAAAAAGAATCGTTCTCCTTACCTAAAGGTGATTTTCACTTTCTTTTACTTTCTCATTTCCATTTAACTTTTTGTATCTTTATTGATGGGTTTCTTAAACACAGGTTGTTGCTGCAATGGTAAATAATGATCTTGTTAGTCTAGTAAACACCAGGCCCCTGAAATCCTGGAAGGAAACACTTGCTCTCTTATGCACTGTAAGTTTTTTCCTTGAATGTGGTAAAACTTACAGTTTATGCTTGTTTATTATAATTTTTTGGTATTACTGATTTACTATATACACAGTTTGCTCAAAGGGAGGAGTGGACTTTACTTTGTGATACCCTTGCCTCTAGACTTGTATCTTCTGGTAACACGTTAGCTGCGACTCTTTGTTATATATGTGCTGGGAACATTGATAAAACAGTTGAAATTTGGTCAAAGAATGTTACCACTGAGCACAAAGGAGAATCCTATGTTTCCCTTCTTCAGGTAGACACTTGTTTCTGAAAAGATTTAAGTTAAAGTTTGAATAGTAAGTGTTAATTTGTGTTTTCTGTGTATGTGTGTGTGTTAGGATTTGATGGAGAAGACTGTGGTTCTTGCTTTAGCAACTGGACAGAAGAGATTCAGTGCTTCTTTATGTAAACTTGTTGAAAAGTATGCTGAGATTTTAGCAAGTCAAGGACTTTTGACAACAGCTATGGAGTATTTGAAGCTAATGGGCACAGAAGATTTGTCTCCTGAACTTGTGATCTTAAGAGATCGGATTGCCCTTTCCTCTCAACCAGGTATGTTATATCATATATGGCATTATTATTATTATATTCAATTCATGCTGAATTGCTATTTTTAATAATTCCCCTGGGTTTATTTATGTATTTTGTAGAAAAAGAGGCAAATGGTTCTGCTGATTATGGTCACTCTCAACCACAAATGGGAGCTGTATATGGTGCAAACCAGCATACAAACTCTGTCGTGGAACCTACGAGAAACTATTATCAGGTATTTATTTATTTATTTATTGTTTAAATGTACAGACTACAGTGTACACGTAAGCTGATTTAATTTTATCCTGGAATTTAATAAAATTAATCTCGGAATCCTATTTTGTGTTTTCAGGATGAGAATTCTTATCAACGTGAAAGCTATCAACAACCACCTGCTCCTTTATACAACACGCAATATCAACAGCCACAACATCCCTCCATGTTTGTTCCATCTCCTGCAGCTCAAATTCCACCCGTATGTATTTCATTCAAAACTTCCATTTTACTCCCTTTAATTCACTTAAACTTACAATTTACATCCCTGATGTTGTTTTAGACAACGGGGTTCAATCCAGCTCCAGTTGCAACTCAAGCTGCCCCGAAAGTATTTGTTCCTTCAACTCCACCTATCATGAGAAATGCCGACCAATACCAGCAACCCCCGACCTTGGGGTCTCAGCTATATCCTGTATGTATGTTTTTCTTTAATTAATTAATTAATTAATGTGTACAGTAAGTATATTCTCTGATGCTGATGCATAATAATTAATAAATATCAGAATCAGGTGAATGCTAACCCTGGTTACCAAGCGGGACCACCTGGACCGGTTTCAGTTGGTCCTGTCCCATCTCCAATGGTCCCCACCAGTGGGCCGAAAATCACACAGGGTGTAGCACCACCAGTCAGGGGGTTCATGCCTGTAAATAACAACACCACAGGATTACAAAGAAGTTCCTCAAATCAAATGCAACCACCAAGTCCCTCACACCCTGCTCCACCTCCTGTTGCCCCTCCAACTGTCCAGACTGCTGACGTGTCCAATGTCCCAGGTATATTAATTAATAATAATAATAATTATATATAGTCATGTTTTATGAATGAATGTTGAGTGTTGAGTGTTGTTATGTGTTGACACTTGACAGTCCAACAAAGGCCGGTTATTGGGACTTTGACCAGACTTTTCAACGAGACATCGGAAGCATTGGGAGGGGCGAATGCAGTTCCAGCTAAGAAACGTGAAATTGATGACAACTCAAAGAAACTCGGGGCGTTGTTTGCTAAACTTAACAGTGGTGATATTTCCAAAAATGCTGGTGAAAAGCTTGTGCAGCTTTGTCAGTCGTTGGATCGTGGTGACTTTGCTACTGCCCTCAAGATTCAGGTAATCTTTTCTGGCAGTCAACATCATAGGACTTGAGGGGTTAAAAACTAAAATGTTTTTTTTTTCTTTAAATAGGTGGATCTTACGACTAGTGACTGGGATGAGTGTAGCTTCTGGTTAGCAACACTGAAACGGATGATCAAGATTAGGCAGACTGCCAGATAAATGGAATGGAGTCTGTACACAGGAAGTTGGTGGTCTAGCAAAGTTTAGTTCCTTTTCTTATTATATCCAAAGGATATTTTTAATATTTGCATGGATTTATTGATATTTATTTTTCTTACTTTACTTTTTATAAAGCAATTGATGACCCAAGATAGGTTTGTTCATGGATGGATTTATCTTCTGTTTTTATTTGTGTATGGAGTTAATAGATATCACATAATTTTGTCACAAGTTTTGACTTTTTGTTTGATTGCCAATGCCATCTCACTTCTTTATACGAGGCTTGCTTTGAGCTTATTAATTTTAATTGTAGCCATCATGTCAATGCAACGTGTATAGCAAGAAAATTTGCAGCATATTAATATACGCTACACCACATACATTGACAACATATTGAATCCTTAAACTATTAAGTCTGTTTCTTTGCATTAGCACTATTTGTAATAGTAATGACGTAGTCATATTATTGATTTTCATGTCTTGACATGTCAGCCAAGAACTATGATACATTATAAATAGAGAGTCAAACAATGCATGGTACATAAAAAGTCCAATAGATAAATAACAAACTAAACGTTGTTAATTATTTAAAGAGCCTAGCTAGCTAAGTTTATTTTGTAGAATTGGAATGAGAAGCAAGCCATGTCGCTATAAGCACCATAGATTCTTCCGGCTTGTACAATGCCACTGAATGACCCGCACCCTACAATTGCATTTTAAATTTTAATCAAAATCACCATTATACTTGATTTTGATATAACGAAAGCATTATGGTTGGATTTTTTTTAAAGCATGATCGTTCCAAAAATAATTTAACAAAATCTTGAAACGCCCACACATATATATAAATACGTTACAACTTCTTACCTTAACAGTCGCATATTTCAAAGAGTATTTGTCTTTTGAGTATGTCTTCTGATACCTACATAACAAGAAAATGGCCAATTTTCGATTATTACCAATGAACTTGATTTCCACCTACTGCATTTGTTACTTCATAATAAAATAACCATGAGATTAAACATGAAAAAACAATATCCCTAAACTAATTAATATAGTAGGAAGATGCCAAAAAACATCGATCAGAAAGTAAAGTAGTTGAACTCACCCTGCAACTTGACTGCTAACAAACCATGGTTTCCATGTGTTTTCAGTTTTAAGATTAAGACTATTGATCCATTGCTTCGTGCCCATATATGGAAACGTCATGTCATGATCACCACTGCAAGTGCAAATCAATTCAGTAACCTTTCAAATACACTAGAAAATATATAAACAGAATTTAAAACTTATCTTTCTTATTTCATATATAATACATTCAAAACCTCAAGCATATATAATTAAATTGGATACAAAATTGCGAGAGAGATTACTTGATAATCAAAGCATAACAGTTTTTGGTAGTAAGTAGCTTATGGGAGGCTACACTGCTGAAGATATTGTAGGAGTAAACTATGGTGTCGTTTTTCCCATATAAAGCATGAATGCTTGTGTTCCTGTACTGCCATTTATCCACTGTACCCTGTACATTAAAAAAAAGGTGCCTAGCTATAATTAAAAAGAAAAAGGTCGTAATATTATATTGTGTTGTGGGCTATTATATATATCAAATGCTAGTAAGATTACCTCACGAATGTGGAGAGCTTGTCGGACTGCTTTTGTGTTTGCCCAAATATTAGAATAAGAATAAATGGATTCCTATATATAAAGAGAAAAATATGATATTAATTAGTATGTGTACACGTGTCATGCATTAACTAGTTTTGAAAAAAAAAAAATGTTTATAGTTATGATTTACTGGACAGATGGATTTTGGAGCTTGTGCATCGCAAAGGGGATCTAAGATGTTATTTACATTAATTCGAGATAGACACTGCAAGTGAAAACGTTTAATTTTAATTAATTATGAGTTAATAATCAGTATTTAGAACATATTCAATTAATATATTAATCATCACTCACCTCATTCACGGGCTGAAGACTATTCAAACACAATGTGTTGTTTGGATCGACGTATACGTATTTACCTCCACAATTTTTCTTCGCTGGCTGACAAATCCAGATTAAAAAAATAACAAATCACATTTCAGGTTTATATTAAATATATTAAATGAGCCATGCATATATATTATGTATAGTACCTTGTAGAGTTCATCTTCTATAAGTCCAGTTCGATAAGCAAATTCAACTCGTGTATTGAAATTTATGAATTTATCCGTAAGAGGGTTCACAATCAAGAAACCCTACACCAAATCCAAGTACATGATGACATGAATATGAATGCATAAGAATTACAACAAAAGTAAAATGTTTATTTTTCAAGCTTTATACATATACCTTGATGTTTAATCTTGGTTGAACGCTTTGTTCATTGCCTACAAAAGACAAATATGGTAAAAAAATGTTTTCAAGAAGGTGGTCTCGTTTTTTTAAAAGCATGATTTTGAACTAAAACTACAATTTTTTGTACCAATGTATATTTTTAAAACGACATTTGGAATGATAATTCCCATATAAGAACTCCCCGTAATGTACAATGGATTGCTGAGAAACTTCGGATGATCCATGAGCCACTGCAAAATGAACATTAAACAACGAATTATCCTTGAGAAATTTTTTTTGTCTAGATTAAAATCAAGGTGATGGAAACAAAATATTCTAGTTGTATACTAGATAAAAATGACACACACCAAGTTTTATGTAGGAAAGATGGACATACTAAAAAGCATTTGACACACACACACACACACACACATATATATATATATATATATATATATATATATATATATATATATATATATATTAAAGTATCATGGTAAACTAGTGAGTTTTATGTGTGCCTTACATGTCTTATAAAATCGTACACATGAGTAATAATAAGAGAATCACTACTCCTTGATGATTCCCATGTCTTGGCATATGAAAATCCAGCACCAGCGGGTTGATCTATGAATATGATGTTAGCTGTCTACAACATACAAAAAATACTTTAGATTGTTATATGATACTGTTATTAACAAAAATATTCTAGAATTCTCCAATCTTGTAATAGATTAAACGCTTCAGGCATATAATTGTTTAGGTTTATTTTCTAATGGATGCGCGTTGTACTTTTTCATGTGCGAGGATTATGTTCGTGGAGCAAAGTGATCCGGTGGGATATGTTGATGGGCTAAGAAATGGATTGGGCTGGATAGGCTAAAGATGTAGATGAGCTACAATTGAGGGACTATTTCTAGCAAATTGTGATTTCTCAAGGACCGAGGCTCACTATTATGGAAGTCAGTATGTGTGTGAACACACATACCCACAGGTCTATCCATAGTCCGACCCGTGATTGACGCAAACTCGCAAAGTATATATTGAAGTGATGTTGTATATTTTTGGTCATTCATCACAAATTCACTCTCACACTAGCTGAAATACTCTCTCGTCCTTTTCTATTCTCTTGGTTCGTTGATTAAACTTTATTCTTTGTAAACTCTAGGTTTTCCTTCTTGAAATCATTAGAGTTTTTTAGCTATTTTTTGTTAATTACTTCGTTGAATATGAATACAAACTATGTCCTGTTTTCTGGTTGTTTCTGATTAATAAAAGTATCTTTTAATATGATATCAGAGTTAAATGCCCCTATGTTTTTCTCCATTATTCACAAACCATCCAAGTTACAGAAATGGTCCCTAGCCTCTTCTCTTTTTTTTTTAAAATTACCCAACACTCATTTCTTTTAACTTTTTGGTATTTTTGTGGCCCATTATCATGCACAATTTTCCTGTTTATATAAGAGATTTTCTATCTTTCTCTGTCTTTACATAATTATTTTTTACAATCTTTGTGTGTTTTTGTTTTTATGTATAATTTTAAAATTATAACTCATGCACTTTTTACAACCTTTGTGTGTTTTTGTAATCATACCCTAGTTATAAACATATATGATGAAGATATGCATACATATATCCACGAGTAAATAATGCTAACCTTTGTCCATGAATATGGGTTCACATCCAAATTTACTTTACTTCTCTTTGCATTCGCATATCTGAATTTAAGTGGGCCTACAATAAAAGTTTATCGAATATAATGTTTTATATGATAGCAAATGATAAAAATGATAAATTGAACGATAATAATACACATTGCAATGTGTTTTTGAATTGACTTTGAACTCAACACAAATGAAGAGAAATTAAATCGACATAACACATAACTTAATATTTATTTTCACAATATCGTTTATAACAAGAATTTTAAAAGCTTTTGGTTCCATCTGTAACATTAACATGTCATCAAAATAAAAAAATAAAATACAAATTTCTCAAATATCTCAAAAACAAAATTTTTATAGGACACAAAGTAAAGCTAAAACTTTCAATTGTGGAGAAATTTGGTATTGATATTAAGTTTTTTTTTTTTTTTTTTTTTTTTAAATTTAATTTAATTTACATTCTGTTCTTTACTTTTATTATATGTTCAATATAACTAAAAAATTGACAACTTATAAAGAGGCAACTAAAAGGAAAAAAAAAATGAGCTAGGAATCCATTGTCTGGTTACAATTTGTATTAAAAAAATGAAGTGTGTTGTGTTGTTGGATAAAAATAGGTAAATAAGTTGGTATTTATCACAATTTGTCCTAAATTGTTCTTTCCATTTACTTTTTATAGCAGTTTGTCCGAAATTGTTTTTATACATTACTTGAATTGTAAAAAAAATCGTATTATAGTATCTTATTATTATCATTTGTGTTAATAATAATTTAAAAAATACTATTAAAAAGACAGTGACAAATAATTATTTTTTGTGAATCTTTTATTTTGTAGGGTATGAATTAAAAACATTCTGACGAAGATTATGGATTATCGATAAAATCTAATTACATGTGGCCAATATATTTGCTTGCCGTTCCAAAAAAAACATGTGGTCAATAGGAAACATAGACACAGTGGATCTCAGATCTACTATTTTGAATTTTCTTCTCCCTATATCTAACTATCTATTTCAGCTTATTATGCATATAGAAATTCCTCATTCCGAAGCTAAACGGTTTTAACTTTTTGACAAAGTTTGATGAAATTACCAAATCAAATGTTTAGGAAATTTCATTATTTAAAGTTGCTGAACTTGTTGTAGCTTTTAGTTTTCCAAAATGTTACCTTTTTAGAGTAATGAGACAAAATTTCAAATAAATGTGAAGCCAAATAA